GTTCTCTCTATCCAAGGACTACCTTTTTGGACGCCTATTGTTTTTGACTAATATGAACAACTTTTTCAATTGTCCTTTCGAAATTAGAGGCGTGTTGCTGTTACAAATTTGTTCTCCTTTCTTACCTGAATGAATTACAAGGCACTGTTGTTGTTAACCCTGAGCGGATACTTCATTACCAAAATGGAAAAACGAAGAGGCTTTAATTAACAAGTTGAACATAATCAAAATAGTGTTGATTATTTATATCATCACAGAGATTTCGCAAAATTTTCAGCTGGTTGAAGGCGACTGGGGATCAGTTCGTGCATTGTCTGCAGGTCAATTTCATTCCGCTATCCTGAACACTAAAGGAGAAGTATGGACGTTCGGATGGGGTGTGTGGGGACAACTTGGGATAGGAGGCCGTCAGATTAAGGACTGCTTAGTACCAACCAAGGTGCCCAATCTGAGGTGAGTCGAAATATTTTTTGTATTAAGTTTTTCCACAGCAACATTAGAAAAAAAACAAGTGCTTTCGCTCTAAAGCACAAGTTATGGTCAGTTCTAAGCTATGCGAATTCCGTGTAAGCTAGTGATATATCGATTTGTCGAGTGTGAAAGTAATTTGTATAGAGCAACACCATCTGTGGGGTCCTAGCGCTATATAATGGCCTTGTTGATGCCGAGTTGACCAAAACTGAAAAAAGAAGGAAAGAAAACCGTCGATGAATTCATGAACAATTATTCCCTTTCTCTCTCGTTGAATAAGGTGGGGACGGATCCGTACGATTTTTCTGAACTTGCTTGCTCCCCGGCTCCACTAGCCCTCGTATTTGAATATGCCGCTACGCCGACGTAATACACGCCGCGTGTCATATAGTATGCGCAGTATCTCGTCCGAATTAAGAAAAAAAGTCGTCATAAGTCCACTTCGTAAAGCCCTAGCGGCATAGCCGCACACTTTCGAGGCGCAGACAACGGCACAGCTTGTGATACTCTTGGGCTACTCTATTCCACCCACAGAATAGTAATTTTTGTGACTCCTGCTGGTGGTGTTGCTTTGAGTAGTACAGAACTGACAGATAAGGCTCATAGCTGGCGCGCTCTGAAAAATGTTCGTCTGCATCTTTGTCTGGAAAGGTATCGTTTTGTTCGTGCTGGTATCGTGCTTACAGTGGACTAGCGATTCCGTGAAACGCCTTTTCTACCTCTCTCATTCGAGAAGTATCTAAAAACATTCGTCTGTTACACTTTCTGTGATGCAGAGCTCTGCTAATGTTTGGCTTACAAGTTGAACGTTGAACATATTCTGCCTTTGAAACATTCAAGTTTTCTGAACTAGATAATGCTATTTCCTCGATAGTATAAATTTCCGTTGCAGCGAGCCAATCAAGGAAGTTAGTTGTGGACGCGTGCACACTGTTCTTCTCACAGTTTCTGGTAAAGTTCTAGTCGCGGGAAGTGGTAGTTATGGGCAGTTGGGTACCGACGAGGATATCAGAAAGCAATACGACTTCCGTCCACTACCTATAGATCCGAGCCTCAAGGTTTTGTGATCATTCATAGAATAATTTCGCCTTTGCAGCTCTACTTCCAAAGTTTTGTAATCTACCTTGTTTTTAGTTTGTAAAAATTCGCTACCGGTTTCTATGTATCCATCGCTATAACGGAGGACGGACGTATATTTGAATGGGGTAGGAATCCACAAGAAGTGAAAATGCGCATGTTTGTCACCAGGCGGCTTCGCATGGCACAGTTGAAACGAATAGCAGACGAAGAGGGAGATGAAATAGTTCGTTTTTACTGCTTTGCTACAAGTTGGATATCTCACCTGTGCAATCAGTTCTTGTTATAGGGGATTGTCAATATGGAAAAACCGAAGATCCTTCTACCCATGGATACTCCACGTGATGACTTAGGCGTGCGAGAAGTGTTACACCTTCTTGACGGGCAGGTTGTTGACGCCTCTACTGGCCTTTCTCATATTGCAGTCGTAACTGATCAAGGATCGCTGTTCACTTGGGGAAAGGTGATATATCAATTCTTCACTCAAATCACTTCCAATTTTTCAATATCAATGTGGCTTGCAGGGTCTCGATTTTCAACTTGGCCATGGGAATAAGACAGAACGTAGTGAGCCACATATCTTATTCGATCCTCGAGATGTGAAATGGAAACTTGTCGCATGCGGTATGCAATTTTAAATTTTCAATCGCTTTGTTTTGATTAAGTGGAAATTTTCCAAGTAGTTCCTACATTTCGAGGACCTTGCTACTTGGAGAATGAAGAATGTTCTCCATAAAAGAAAGCAGTGCAAGATTCATTGCCTCGATCATGCTTTATTGAAATGCTTAAACTTTCCTATTCTAACTTAAGGAGTATCTCTTTTACAAATTACATACCGCTTTTTTGTGTAACGTGTAGTTATATAGTTTATTTCAGGAGGAAATCATACCATTGCCGTATCAAAAGATGGTCGCACTTTTGGATGGGGCAGAAATGACTATGCGCAATGTGGCGTGCCGTCAGACAAAACTCCATCGCTGACAAGGAAAGTACTTTTATCAGTCAACAAAAGTTCGTATTGTTTTGGTTCGATTTTTTTCTGTTAAAACGTGTGCTAAAAAGATCTCTCAGACCGCCATCATACTCGGCGACGGACAAGCGATGGAGCGATCGCGTCGCTTCATCGCTTGTCCGTCGCTGAGTGTGACGGCGGTCTCAGCCTTAGCGGTGGGCGCTTATCTTTGGTGACTGACCCTTCTGTAATACGTTGGTTCAGGGATTGTGGCTCAAGTAGAAAGTGAGCAGGCCGATACATTTATGGGGCGATGTAGAGAGGGTGCGTAGCGTTTCTCCTCCTGGGGTCAGGTCACCTAAAATTGAGACGCCGTTCATTCGCTCGGAGCAAGCTTAGGACTAAGCCTAGGCCCAATCATAGGCTTAGGCATAAGCCAATGTGTAAGCATAAGCCTTAACCTAAGTCTAAACCCAAACTTAACCTTAAGCTTCAATGATCGCGCAACTGTGGTGACCTGACCCCAGGTTGATGCAACTATTATATACCGTTGAAAATATTCCCGCATAGAGTAGTCGCTTAGACATACGTCTAGCGTGGTTTCTGAAAACTGTTAATTATTATATTGGGTTGAACTAAAGGAGAACGTCGTGGAGGATAGGAGTTTTGCCGTTAGCAGATGAATGCACTTTGCCGATAATTTCGAAAGGTCCATCACTGTAAAGGACCTGCTTAGAATGATTGTGACCGTTTCTTGTTACGATATTTGATAAAGGCCAAATTTTGCAGCAGGAGGGAGCCCCGAAGCGATGTGTTTCTCTGCCTGATGATGCATCCTTCGTTGTTAAACCAACGTTAATTCCTGAAGTTGAGCTTCGCTTCTTCGATGAAGGGGGGAAAAAGAAAATACGACTGCCTCTAAAAGGACAGAAAATTTAAAAAAAAATGGGTTGTGGCAAATTCAACTAAAAGTTTCCATTCTCAAAATCTCGTGATCGATGTCTGTTTAAGATAGTGTTTCCACCTCGTTTGATCAGAAGCAGCTTATGACACGCCTCAGAGGTTGCGATTTGCCAACAATTCAGGTATGATATCCAGTGAACTGAGCTTAGTGCCCTCGATGAGAAATATAGATTATTAGCATTGCACTTGTTTTCTAGGCTGTTTCTCGTCACTTTCTTTCCCGTCACCCCGTTGGTGCTCCCACCTCGAAATGTACAGGCTTGGACGCCTCTGTTCCTGTCGCTCTAGTTCATCTCATGGCTGGTAATGTACTAGCTGCGATTGAGCAGATTGGCCGAGCCCGTAGCGTTACTCCTGATCCTAAGGTACTGTTCTGAGCAGATTTCCCTTGCACTGAGAGTTAGACTGCGTAATGTGTTCAAACCTATCGGCAGAAAATCAATTATTTATTATCGATTGTGCTTTTTTGAATTGCATAGACTCCAGTTCCACGATAAAAGGGGGCCAAGGTCGTTTGCCCACCGCATCCGAGACAATTTCCAGTTTTAAATTCGATAGCACAAAAATTGTGTCCTTCTCGTCGATTCCCATGCCTGGATGAGTCACAGGCGGAGCAGAGCATTCACGTTGACATTGGAGTGAAAGCTCTGCAATGGTTCTGCCTTCCTGCTGGAAAGACTGAAGTCTGCGATCACGGACCAGCAGTCATTAGAGGCGGCCAAAGGCACGAAAGTATCCAGAGGAATGTGTAAAACCTTATTATGTCGCTATTGCGCACGCTCAGGCATGAAAATGCCACCTGTGTGCCCTTAGGTCTCAACATTTTTACAGGGATAATCTCGCATAACATCCAATTTACCATGCCATGTGTCTTTATGTCCATCGTATAATGCGCGAGTAGCGTGCGGAAGCAAATTGGCACAAAATATAAAAGTCCATTGCCTCTTTTGCTGATAAGACATTTAGCTCGATTCAGTTGATAAGAGCTTTGCGAGGTGATGGTCTTGCAAATATATTTTGTCTACATAGGTGGATGGAGCGCTCCGTTCTGTTGCTGGCTTGGCTTGGGAAGTGGTTGCAAATCATGAGGACTGCCAATCAAGGTCAATTTTGTCTGCTGCATTCAAGTGCTTGCCGATTACAAACACACAGAAACGCAACAGTCAGTTACGGCGGTTGTGGCCTATGGTGAGTCCTGTTGGTGGTTTTCAGAAACGCTTGTAATTATATGTTTTTGTGCAGATTTGCTCGGTTACGTATTTTTTTTTCGAAGGACCCAATTTTTATTCGTGTTCTCACTGCTGAGACAGGAACGTGAAATGTGGCGAATTCGTACGACGTTTTGATCGTAGGTGTTTTTTTTTTCTGTCGCCTCGTTCATACACTTTATGTCCATGTGCGTTTTCGGGTGACACTGGAACTTGTTTTCTGGAAGCCTTGATCCTCGTAACTCACCGTCGTACTGTTAAGAGGGGGTTTACCAGTCAGTCTGCAAGCTAGCTAAGAGAGAAGAGAGACTTTTTTGACAGTGAATTAACTCAATAAGTCATGGGAAGCAAGTACCTAGGAGAAGCAAATGTCATGAGTCTAGTACTACGATATGCACAGAAGGAGTTATTTGTGAGTCATCTGAAAAGTAAATATGAAATATTTTAAGCGGTACTAGGTCCCCTGAATAGACATTTGCTTTTTGGCTCTAAAGCTTGTTGCTCGTTGTTGCCATCTTACAAATTTTTTATGCTGCAGAATGTAGACGGCGTTTCTAATATGGAGCTTCGAACTGTTAGGACTATGGTGTAAATAGAGCAGCTCGAAATTTCAAAAACTTAGACGTTGAAGAATTAGGCTTTCTAATTATGGGTTTGAGAGATGAATGATTTTTCATTGGATTGGTCGGTGTTGAACTAAAATTCAAATTTTTATGTTAAGTCCCCCCCCCTCCCCGAAGTAGACTAGAAAGTTCTTCCGCTACGTTAAATGTCGCACTGCGACAGATAGCTTTGAGAGGTGTAGTAAGATAACAAAAGGATGGCTCAGCCTTTGGCGCATTGGAAAAGCGTGAAACTAGGCCTTTCAAATTAGCCGTGAGCAACCCTCGCGCCTTTTACCCATGCTGGCGCTACATTGCGCTTTATGGATCCGATTTGTCCTGGCTCCCAATTCAATCGAGTCTCATATTGCTCAAGGTACCAATACCGTTTTTTTGGGCTGAGAGTAAACGAAGTAAGCAAACCAGCCCTTTTGGCGTTTCTGCTGGGCCGTATGCTGAATGTTGGGGAGGGGATGGGGTCCCCGACGGTCGACGGACTACTTCAACTCGGTCCTTAAAACCGCCTCAATTTGATGCTTACCTCAGGACTAAGCCTTAAAGAGAGGACGGACCTGCGAGAGAGCGTAGGTCCGTCCTCTCTCCAAGGCTTAGTCCTCTCTCGCAGGTCCGTCCTCTCAAGGCTTAGTCCTGAGGTAAGCATCGAATTGAGGCGGTTTTAAGGACCGAGTTGAAGTAGTCCGTCGACCGTCGGGGACCCCATCCCCTCCCCAACATTCAGCATACGGCCCCAGCAGAAACGCCAAAAGGGCTGGTTTGCTTTCCAGATTAAACTACCGTCAAAATTTTCAAGTCACTACCTAAGTAAATTTAATAATTTGGAAACCCGAACTACGTATTGAATTGTCACTAGTTTTTCAAGCGGACTTCGAATGTGTGGCGCATTACAAAAATTTAATCAGCACACATCGCTTCAGATTTTTCTTAATTTTTCAAATGTCAAATGTTATTAGAGTATTATCGTATGATTGTTTTATAGATGGTATTATGACACCAATAACTGATTGATAACAGGGTAACTGATCGTGTACTTCCAGGTGTGGGACGAGCCAGGTGTACAAGACGCTTTGACAGCTGATGAGAAGCTTGATATTCTGGAATCATGGGTGGCTCCAACAAAATGCATAACAAGCGTTGAGGTAGGACGCTCGCTGCCCATCATCCACTTCTTATGATTGAGGGTCTCCATCTCAATATCGATTGCTCAAAAATTTCTCTACAGATTCCTGGCGCAGCACTGCGTTCCGTTGGTAGTAACAACTTCTCTAAACTTCGAGTATGGGCCAGATGTAGTCATGTGGAACCGGCAGTTGTGGGTGTTGCCGTCTCCGATTGCAGTGCCTGTGCCGAGGAGTGGGCTGACATGATTAGAACCACAATGAGCAGTGAAGGCGTTGGTCGCTAGTCTATATTTATTTATTAGTCGATCGAATGTATTTATTACGTTTAATTAGAAATTATGCTTCATTAATGCTATTGAACTGTAGAACCTCTAACGGGATCTCTAGAAGTGCTTGTTGAAGTGCTCAATATATTATACTACTGCAAGTCAATACTAGATCTGTTAATGTATCTCTATACTCTGTCCTTTTTTCAAAGGCTAACTGGTTAAGTCATTAATTGCCGGTTCTTCACGTACCCTGTAGCAGGGCAACAGTCGTGGAAACTAATCACTAGCTTACGGTGTTTATTTCAATATTGTGCCTCAATTATACGGGATATGATGTTTTATTCACTATTCTTCATTAATAATGTGTGTTCCGTAATGTTTGAGACTAACTGCTCGTAAAACATAAAAATTTTTAAAAAGGTGAATGCGAAAGATTGAGACTGATTAGGAAACATTCGAATGTTTGGTGCAAGCATACACAGTATAAAGGATAAAGGATAAAGCATTTGCCGTTGATCAATCCCTTTTTGGGATGCGGCACGCATTCTACTTCCATTTGTACATTCGTAGTGGCGTTTGAATGCGATGTGGCCTATACAATGACTTGCGGGGGCCAGCCGATGTACAAGTCAGTGTTTTTATCCTCCCAGACAAGTCTGGTACCAATTAACCGACCCCGGAGGGATGGAAGGCTTGGTTGCCCTGAAACGTTAACTACCTAATTCTTTCTTTGAAAGAAGATTTTACAATAGCAAGGCAGCCCATGGAAAAC